GTTGTCAGTAGTCTAAGGTTGAGAAACTGCCCGAGGGATATATTTTTGTGTCCCAAGTGGTACTTGTGTTAGGTGGAAGTTTGTCCTTGAACCAATATTGCAATTTAGAATTAATAGAATCATAAGCACAGAAAGGGACCCTAGAGGTCACATTTAAACCTTATCCTAACTTGTATCCCTCAGAATAGTGTAAGGCAAGATATTAATAAGTGTAATGAATAAGAAGTGTTTGTTAAATTAGTTTGGTAGAGGCAAACATTTGAGTATTCAGTGTCAAGTGCATTGTGAATCTCCATTAGGAAAGTTTTTCCCACATGTGTTTGCCTGCTGAACCCGTCTGACATCTTCAGTCTCCAAAATGCTCTCTTGAAACTGGAGATTCCATTAATGCCTAGCCCAACCTTTTATAGAGTTAAAGGACCTTGATTAGATAGCCCCTCTCCTTTGTCTCTTTAAGTTTACTGCAGAATCTTAATCTGTGTCTGTGACAGCAGGTACATTTGCTCCATCTGTGTTTGTCCAATTGTGGTTTATTAGGTGAATTAAAAATCGGGCTATTTTAGGCTTCTTTATCTGAATGTACAATATAACTTTATTATCTATCCCCACCAGTAAATTACAAATTAAAATCCCAGCCCAAAACCTACTACTGTCCAGGTTGTTATGAGGATTAATATGTAAATTAATTACAGCTTTTAATGCATTTGGAGAAGGGTGATTTAGCTATTGTGCTGTTTGGTAAAACTGACAATCTTTCTCTGCCTTAAATTGTTGGGAAGAGTGAAGCTTTTGGGATTCAAGTGGGAAGGGAACCAGCAGTTTACTTCAGTAAGTTAAATTTAAGAAATTTGCTGAGACATTTTTGCCTTGCTCAGATTTCTCAGCTCTTTAAAGAATATGCATTATTTTTTTTTTGCTTCCTTTAATTTTACAAGTAATAACATGTTTATGGTGAAGACATTACATAAGCCAGAAAACAAATGACAAGTCTTCCACCTACTTTTTAAAATTCTAAAAAGAATAAGATCATAGTACATGTTTTGTTTCATAACACTTTTTTTTTCCTGTTTAACAGTGAAACAAGCACCTTATCACAGCAGTATATACTAATGTGCTTTGTTGTTATTTATGGTTGCATAGTATTCTATTGTATGGCTGTTTCATAATTTAAACTGAATTTTTGGACATTTGATTTGCATTCTTTTTATTATGAGCATCATAAAATACTAAAAGTAACTGTAGACATGTATTAAAAAGTTCTAAGCTTTGGTGGTTTATAGCAGTTGTGACTAATATTGAGTGCTAACTAGATATATGCCATGTCCTCTCTTTTTTTTTTTGGTATGTGCTTGGGTCCTTAAATACATTGTTGAGAATTATTTGCTTTATATTTTTCCTTGTGTTAAGAAGTCATATCAAAAACTATTCCTTTTTTTATTTGCTTTTTGTCTATAGGTTATAATAATGCAAATAATGGGTGCATGTGCCAGGCACTGGGCTAAGTAATTGAAAGTGATACATATAATCACAGCAGCCTTGTGAGGTAGGCTCTGTTGTTTGCAGTTGAGAAAATTGAGGGAACAGAAGAAACTAAATAATTTAACCTGAGGGTAGAGCCCAGGATGTGGACCCAGACCTGCTCCCCTTATCTGTGAGTGCCTTTGGGGGTGATACTGAATTTTAGCATAGCATTTCAAGTCATTAAAAGGACAGGATGTAGATTTCAGTCTTTTTTTTTTTTTTTGAGCAGTATTGTTTTCGTATAGAAAGATAAAGAGTTAGGAATGAATTCCTCCTGAACAAGTCACTTTTCCCCCTTCTCTCCTTTTCCCCCTCCCTACTTTATTTAGATGACTCTTTTAGTAACTACTATTTGCAGTGAATTGTGGGGATACTGAGACCAAGGAGAATGTGTAAACAAAGTAAATTTTTTCTTTTGAGATGTATGGGATTGCTGTCAAGCTCACAGATGTACTTTCAGAGGGTCAGACAAGGCTTCTTGAAAGAGGTGGGATTTGTGCCAGCAGATTTTTCTTTATGTTGTGAACTTTAAAGAATTGAGTAATTCTAAAATGACTTTGGAATGCGCACTGCTTAAGTACCTTCTGTGGTGTGATGCTAATTGTACACTCTCTGTGTGTGCTTGGTGAGCCTGTTTTTCCTGAGTAAATTTTAAGTTTTGTGTAAGCTGTGTAACATCTGTGTCTCTGTTTGGGTCCCCAGAGAGAGGCTGTTTCCTGACATTGCTGACATACTGTAGTGTTCTTGGGTAGTAGGCTACAAATACTCTTGTCACCTGTTGTATTTAATCATCTGGCACTGATAATGCGCCTTGTTGCATTGCTACTATCAACTATATATTGAAATCAATTCAAAAGAGAGAGGCGATTGAATTGATTGGAAAGATCTGATGTCATTTTTGTTTATGGGAGAAAACGCTTTGTGTATTATAAAACCAACTCAGTGTGTTTTGAACAAATAACTCATTGATTCATCTGTCAGTTGGTCTGTAACACAACTGTTTATATACTGTATTAGGAATTACTATTAAATTTAAAATCAGAAATAGAAAAAGTGGACACAGAACAGTTTGTGTTACCCAGAATGCTATATGCTAGGAAGTCCATAAGGATAAAACTCTGTAAGACCCAGTCTACTTATTCCATGGAATGTCCATTAAAATGTAATTTTAGAATGAGAAACTTACATAGTACAACGAACAAATTTGACCCAAGTGTATGGTGTTTGTATGGATATTTTTTTCTGAGTCATTCACTTAAGTATTTTGATATTAATAATTTGAGTTGTCATACTGTAAAAATCTTAGTGTAGTCCTATAGGATCTACCATTCTATGTTGGTATTGATCTAAAGATAAGAGTGTTTGATCAGATTGGAAGTTAGTCTTTTTGGTGTGTGAAGGGGGAGTAGGTTGCTTTAGTTTGGTGAACACAAACCTTTTGGTTTCAAGGCTCCTTTTCACTCTTAGAAAATGTGAAGAACCACAAAAATATAGATTATTATCAATAGTTGATGTATTAGAAACTGAGAAATTTAAAAATTAATTATTTACTAATCCATTTATAAATGACAAAACCCATTACATATTATGAAAAAGTAACTATCTGAATAACCTTGCAGTGACAGGTTCACTTTGTGAACATTTTCAGAAAAATGTCTGAATAACTTTAGGTTTTCAGTCCTTTCACCAAGTAAAAATAGTGTTCCATGAAAAAAGCTAGTTCAGCTTGCAGCTCGGTTGCACAAGTGCTTTTTCTCAGACTTCTTAAAGAAGCTAAAGTGCTTTATGCATACTTTTCCTTTTATCACACAGAATATTAAAAAATGTAATAAAATTACAATAAAATCAGTAATTTTCATAATTTCATTAGGACAATAAGTGGAACTGACTTTTTCTTTAAGTGAATAGAGAATATGATCCGTGACTGTTAGGTGCCTCTGCCTTGACTTGTGCCCAAGTGCCTGTAGTTTTGCTTAGCCTTGTTTTTGCATACTCATTGCAAATGTCAGTGTGGTGAAAAAAGGCAAATAGTGTTTCAGTATTACTGTGAAAAGAGGTTTTATTTTGTGGAACCCTGAAATGATCTCTGAGCTCCCAAGAAGTCCATAGACTGCATATGAAGGATAGCTGGCTTGGTTCTTCACATAGATTTATTTCCTTTTGCTTTCAGACCAAATAAATCAAAGGGGATAGAGAAGAGGCAAGGATGAAGAAGAGGGTTTTAGCTTGGGTTACTAATGAAAGCAATGCCATTACCTGAGATAATAAAACAGGATGAGGAGTGTGTTCGAAGAAGTAAATTTTGGATTTCAGGGAGCTTGAGGAACATAGACGTGGGACAGTTGACTACTAAAGCTCAGTAACTGTTTCTGAGTATTAGGAGGCCTCACCAGACTAGTTGTTGCCAAGAAAGTAGGTTGAAAGAGAAGAGGGAAGAAGGGATCTTGGTGTCAAGGACATCAAGAAAGGAGAATTTCAAGAATAGTCAGTACTACCTAATGCTGCTTTAGTGAAGTCAGACAGAATAGGGACTGAGACTTGGCCATTAGATTTGATAATGAAATTACTGGTAACCTTTTCCAGAGGAGTAGGCAGGCATAGGAGCCAGATTATGGAAGAGTACAGAGGCAGTTATTTATACTATTTCAAGAAGTTTTGGGGTAAAGGGAAAGAGACACATTGGGCAATTAATTTGAGAGGTGGGCTGTACTGAGAACAGTGAAAGAAAAGAAAATTGGTGAAGCAAACTGGTATTACAGGTGTGACTATGGGTGAGTTAGTCTTGTAGTGTGATCTCATGCAGGGAAATGAGAAGTGAATGAACACTGGATTCTCTGGCCAGAAAAATGCACAGACCTATGACATTTGGCATACATACTTTTTGGTAGGGATGGAGAGTTCTGTATTGATTCTTTTCTGTTTAATTGCTAGATGTTTAGTTTGATACATTTGCTTTAAATCCACTAATTTCAGGATGTTTTAAAGGGATTTTTCTTTTAAATGCGGATGCTTTAGCTTTAACAATTTGTGATTCTGTCAGAAAGGAACTTATGTTGTGGCTACTTTTTTTTTTAACTGAATATTTTTAAATTTATTTTTTATTAAGGTATTGATATACACTCTTAAAAGGTTTCACATGAAAAACTGTGGTTACTACATTGAGCCTTATTATCAAGTCTCCCTCCATACCCCATTGAAGTCACTGTCCATCATTGTAGTAAGATGATGTTGTTGCTACCTTTAATCTGTGGTAACAAGTGGCAGAAAAATGGGGTGGAGTTCTTTCTCTTGTGCAGGGATTGTCCCACCCCACCTCACATTCCTCCTCCATGAAGGATATTTGAGTCTGCAGAATGGTTTTGAGTGTTTTTCTTCTGGGGGCAGAGTTTGGAGCCTTAAGTAGTGTTTGTATTAAAAACATGTGTGTTGTTTTCTAATTTGCTTGTATTTCTAACTTGCTTTTCTTCTTTCTCTTGTAGTCTGTTCTCTGGGGAGGCAGTAAGGGGCTGTGGAGCTGGCCTTGGCACCAGGAGAGGCTGGACTTCCTGTCTCTCTGTGCTGAATGGCTGCGATGGCGCCCGCTCTCACTGACGCAGCCGCTGAAGCACACCATATCCGGTTCAAACTGGCTCCCCCATCCTCCACTTTGTCCCCTGGCAGTGCTGAAAATAACGGCAACGCCAACATCCTTATTGCTGCCAACGGAACCAAAAGAAAAGCCATTGCTGCAGAGGATCCCAGTCTAGACTTCCGAAATAATCCTACCAAGGAAGACTTGGGGAAGTTGCAGCCACTGGTGGCATCTTATCTCTGCTCCGATGTAACGTCTGTTCCGTCAAAGGAGTCATTGAAATTGCAAGGTGTCTTCAGCAAGCAGACAGTCCTTAAATCTCACCCTCTGTTATCTCAGTCCTATGAACTCCGAGCTGAGCTGTTGGGGAGACAGCCAGTTTTGGAGTTTTCCTTAGAAAATCTCAGAACCATGAATACAAGTGGTCAGACAGCTCTGCCACAAGCACCTGTAAATGGGTTGGCTAAGAAATTGACTAAAAGTTCAACACATACTGATCATGACAATTCCAGTTCCCTCAATGGGGGAAAACGAGCTCTCATTTCATCTTCTCTTCAAGGTGGTGAAGTGGTGGCATCTGAATGTGGGGACTTGAAGGGAGGTATGACCAATTGCACTCTTCCACATAGAAGCCTTGATGTAGAACACACAACTATATTTAGCAATAATAGCACTGCAAACAAATCTTCTGTAAATTCCATTGAACAGCCGGCACTTCAAGGAAGCAGTAGGTTATCGTTATCACCTGGCACAGACTCCAGTTCTAACTTGGGGGGTGTCAATTTAGAGGGTAAAAAGTCTCCCCTGTCTTCCATTCTTTTCAGTGCTTTAGATTCCAACACAAGGATAACAGCTTTACTGCGGCGACAGGCTGATATTGAGAGCCGTGCCCGCAGGTTACAGAAGCGTTTACAGGTTGTGCAGGCCAAGCAGGTGGAGAGGCATATACAGCATCAGCTGGGTGGATTTTTAGAGAAAACTTTGAACAAACTGCCAAACTTGGAATCCTTGAGGCCCCGGAGCCAGTTGATGCTGACTCGAAAGGCTGAAGCTGCGTTGAGAAAAGCTGCCAGTGAGACCACCACTTCAGAGGGACTGAGCAACTTACTGAAAAGTGATTCAATTTCAGAAGAATTAGAGAGATTTACAGCTAGTGGTATAGCCAACTTGAGGGGCAGTGAGCAAGCCTTCGATTCAGACGTCACTGATAGTAGTTCAGGCGGAGAGTCTGATATTGAAGAGGAAGAATTGACCAGAGCTGATCCTGAGCAGCGCCATGTACCCCTGTGAGTAAAACCCATGCAGAATTTCGTTCTTGAGAAATGTTGGGATAAGGGAGAAAAACTTAGTGAATTCCCATCGCAGGGAGAAAGGGGTTCTTTATATAGGTGCTTAGGTTCCATTTGTTGTTGTTTTTTATGCAGGTGGGTGCAAATATACCTGCTAGTGAAAAAATGGAAGATATTTCTGGTATAGTGTTGTGCTTCTGTAGGCTAATAGCTGCTAATTTCCTTTTGAAATCTTACTAAGTAAAAACTACAAGACATCCTATTGGTAAAGCTGTATACTTATTTCAAAAGAATAATTAGATACATTCTGAAGCTGCATGTAGGATGTTTTTTGTAAGTTTCTATGGCTTGTCTTCAGCTTTTGTTTCTAATAAGTGGGGACAAAAATTTAGTTGACCCAGTTAACTTGGCTGAAATTTATAGTTGCTTTTAATTGAGCTTTCAGCAGAGAGTATTCCCAGTCTTCAATTTGAACACTTGTCAATACCCTTATGTTTTAAGGACCAATAATCAGAAAATGCTTCAGAGTATTTTAATAGGTTGCCCCCAAACACAACTTGATTCTCTTCCTAATAGAGCCCATCTATCAGATTTGGATTTTATTTTCTCTCAGCTAAGTTAAATGTATTGACATATTTGGGATAAATTTTTAGTGGTTTTCCAAATCTGTTTGAGGAGAATTATGCCAAGCTTTCCGTGGCACTTCATATTGGCATGGTGGAGACAGAGGTGCTCATGTTCTTTGCTCCTAATCCTGCATTCAGCTCCTTACAGATAAACAAGGGACTACAGTATATCTCCATAACAAAGAATCAGTCTTCCTTTATCCACTTCTAAGTATTAGACTTAGGAGAGAGGGAAACATGAGTAGTTGAACAAGAGGGGCAGAAGAGTTGACTAAGTAGGTCCTCTTTCATTTCCTCTTTGGGTAGGGATATTATAAAGGTTGGATTATTGAAGAAGGCTGAAATAGGTGGCTATGTTGGAATAATTGTTCCTTGGCTGTAGTAAAAAGTTGACTTAAGATTTTCACTGGAGATTTCATTCAGACAGCTATGATTTTAAGCAGAAATAAATTTCCTTTTTTGTTGATTTTTATATTGCCACATGGATGACACTGTGAAATTTGGTTTATGTTTCAATTTGAGGGGAAAGGCATGGATAATTTTGCTGAATCACTTCTTTGTAGCCCTAGTTTCATCACCATTAGTTAGTTTATGGCACTGGAGTATACTTCTGTATATACATGTTTTCTATTGCTGTAATATGTTTTTTCCTTAAATGGATTAGTAACAAATTAGCTTGTCAATATTTGTGGCATTATCCTCACTGACTGCTGCATAAACCACTGCTTTAAAAAATCTTGGTTAATACTGAGTATTTTGTGTTTAAGAGTAATTTCACATAACAAATAGTGTAGTTGGAGCATTTTAAGTTTCATGTATTATTTTGTGTATTTGAGAAGAAAACAATCTGTAAGTTACTGTTTTGTTTTTATTTTTTTTATTAAGGTATCATTGATATACACTCTTATGAAGGTTTCACAAGAAAAACAATGTGGTTATTACATTCACCCTTATTATCGAGTCTCCC